GAGGCCGGCCTGCCGAAGCCATGCAGGGATGGAGCAGGTTGTTAAAAACGAGCAACCCCCTACAGCAAGGAAACACTTAATCTGAGCAGGATTTGCATTTTACCATGTGCACCTATACCACGAAACACATGAGAAAATTACAAACTGTGCTCTGCCTGTTTTATGGGTGTAATTTCACCGCTCTGTAGGTATTTTCTGGATGAGGTGCTGGCAGTGGCAGCTGAATTCCTGCCCGAGTGCCTGGGCTGGGCAGCATCGGTGCAGCGCAAGCCCCCAAGGAGCGGCAGGCAGGGCCAGGGTGCCGGCAACGCGCCCCGCATCACGCTGCCACACCGCTCACACGACTGTTGCTGCCCCGAAGGGCCCGAGATATGTCTCGCAGGGGAGTTCGCTCCAAAACACACAACTCTGCGCCCGAAGCAAAACACGGGTCACAAAGCACCGAGAATAAATGTCCTCTCTGTTTTCTGGCAATGTCACCTGTGGGATGGAGACGCGGCTGCTGGTGGCCACGCAGCACCCACTGTTGGTCCCAGCGGTGGCACGGAATGGCTACAGGCCAGGGGGCTGGGGATCTGGGTGATGCTGGGTGCAGGCGAGGCTGGCTGCCCCGGTGCCGTGGGGAAGGGCTGTGGCTGATGAAGGCCAGCGGGCAGCACGTCAGACCCAGAGGGAGGCCGCCAGATTTTTTTAAGAGTAAACTGCAGAATCGAACCAAACAAATGAAAATCATGGGGTTCCTTAATCGAACTTTTTTTTTGCAGGTAGAAGGGTATGAACTGGCCTCTGCTTGTGCAAAAAATATGTAATAAAAAATATGTAATAAATGTCTCTACTTTTATGGCTGAAAAAACATGAGAAAGGCGAGCAGTGAGGAAGGGAAAGCCCCAGCGCCCGCTGCCCGAGGAGATCGGGGGTAGCTCTATATCTGGGCAGCAGAGCACCTGGCACGTAGAAAGGTGGAGTTGCAAGCTAACCTTCCTAAAAACCTAGAACAAAGAGCTTTACAAGACCTTCAGATGCCTCCTCTGTGAAAAAAATCAAACGCATTATTATTACTTACACTGCAGTTGCTATGACCAGAACTGTTTATTCCGGATCTGCCAACAAAGTCTTCATGTTATTGTTTGAACTGATAATAATCCCTTTGATCAACACAAGCGGGTATCACAGACAACCTATTTATTGCCAATAGACACCTACATGAAGAAAAAACCTAAAATATGTTTCGACAAATGTAACTTCCCCTTTATGATACAGGAGAAATACACAGAGAACAGGCATAACGGAAATGATTTGTAAAAGTTTTATATCAACACCTTAAGGAGGTTATTAAATATTATTTTAAACCACAGTGGGAATTGGATTGTTCTGCTGACTGTGATTGGTTTTTTGCAGAATAATTTTAGTTAACAGACTTGAAAGAACAAGTTTAAAGAAACTAACTTCATCCACTTATAAAGCTTTGATTATCACAGAGCCTTTAAATTTAAGCTTCATTGAATACAATATGATAATCTTTTTTCTATCACAAGGCAAATTAAAATATTCTGCGTATAATCTTTCTTGCCATTTCAACTGCTCATAAGATTTCTTGCACCAGCAGCCTATTTTGGTTGGAATAAGACATTTCTGCCCATACAACAAATTATTTGTAATGTGCCAAAATTTGTCACCACAGCTAATGTAAACAAAACCCTACCACCACCCATAACAGCCGAATGCATTTATTATTTAGTCATTGTTCTAGTCAATCCTCGTTTCTGTGCAGGGGCTTCAAGGAGTCAATAGATGGCAGTCCATCTCTTAGGAAAGAGCCAGATAATGAATAAAATCACCAAAAGCCTCACAAAAGAGAAAGGTGAAAGGCTGTGTGGTTTTTCACAAGCATTCACAGTAATTAACTAAGAATACTTTATATGATGCAAAACATTTAGACAAACTTTGCAACGGCTGTCCATAAGCAATGTTATAAAAACGGTCTTTTACTAGAAACGTGAATGCCTTGTTTTATTTGCACTTACATGTACCTGCATGTGTGACACTCATGATCAATCTACCAAAATCAATTTAAATCTAGTGGCTGTAGCCACGGCTAAAGCATGGGAAAAGCTCACTGTGGCCTTAGTCTGTTTGCTAATAATCAAGTAGCATCTGCAGCACCACAACACTACTTCTTTTTTAAACTTGCATTATTTTTTTTCTTTAAGCTGTTAGCCTGTTTGCACAGAAATATTTATTCTAAAGTAGGAAAATTACAAACGAATTTCTATAATGAAACAGTACTATGTTGATATGAGAGTAAAAGATCTCAAATTTTTAGTTACAATTCTATAATACATATGCCATATACATTATTCTAAAAGAAGTTTAGATTCTTGCAAGAATACTATTTACTTGTGGGTGTAAAAGAGAATACTTAAACTGAATAATAAAAGCTGGGACTCATACATTTAAATAATTCAGATAATATAGCTTCTTGAAGTGTAACTTATTTTAAATATCAAGCATGTCTTTTACCATACAATTTTTTTTTAATTCCAGACTTAATCTGGCTACTTAATGTAACTTTGAGCCAAAGTCAGACTTCCCATGCAAAAAATGGAGACATGCAAAGCATTTCCCAGATATCACAAATGTGGATTATTTGCAGCTAACTTGCAGTTCACTGCAAAATAAAAAATTATTTATTAGTAGCTAGGGACTGAGACAATTTCAATTTATCTTTGCATGCCCATATTTGACCACATTTCAAAATGTCCCTAAAATGTACTAAGAATTTCCAGATGGGTACTTTTAATAATACACTTGAATTTGTAACTACTAGATTTTCTAACAAGAGCTATTTGATAAATGTTTTCAGGTTTACACTACATAAGGTGTAAACTCTGAACACTTCTTCCAAAATTTACAGATAAAATTTTCCACCTCAGATACCTCAAATTCTGCCCTAATAACCGCTTGGTCAGGTTTAAGCTCCCCTACACTTTTTTTCCAAAAATAAATATTTGCTAAGTGTTGATTGCAACTCACTCTTTGAGGAATTTTTCCATGGCAAGCAAGACTAAAGTTAAATTAAATCTTACACATCAGTAAAAACCAGAACTCAAAATATTGCATCTACTATATCTATCTGATTATTAGATTCCAAATATCATAAACATTTTGCAAAAACTTTTTATATGAGCCCTTAGAGATTATAATGAAATGGAGTATTTACGTTTTTCCTTCATGCAATTTTAAAGAAGCAAACAAAAATACCCAGTGAATGCACCCTTTGATCACATTATTTTTTAAAGTCGATACTAATTCTATTTAATTAAAAGTAAATGCTCAGAGAAGGTGGAGGATTTCCAAAGCAGATCTTTGTTTTAAAATCATTATGCAGAAAACACAAGGAAGAGGTTTAAGCACAGATTTCTTCTATTCAATGAATTTATAAGCAAAGTAGAGAAAAAAAAAAAAAGGCACTCCACCACCATGAAGAGTTGGAAGCAACAAATTATAAAACAAATTTTATCTAATAATCAAAAGAAAAAGCCCACAGCAAAGATCCACAGAGAAAAGTAGTGGACAAACTTTTCTCCTTTGTTTTGAACAGACAGCAGTGATTAATTATCTGTAACAGCTAAATACATATGAGGTTGATGTGGACAGCAATGACAGCAAAGAATCAGATGAACGGCAAAAATCCTAATCTTTAAAGGTGTTTTTATATATAATAATTTAATAAATGAACATATTAAAGATTTGTCATACCAATCCATCGAATACTGTCTTAACCAGTTAAAGATTGTTCCATACTAGCCATATTTGTACACAATTTGTTTTATTTTTATCACTACTTTACTTAAAAAGAAAAAGCTTAAGTAATACACTGCTACAGTTCACAAAGTTTTGCTTGTTTCAGTGACTAAAGATCAAGTAATGCAGGCCAAAGAAGTTACAGCCATGTCCTTACCAATTAGAAATTATCTGCAAAAGTTTATAAAGTGTATTTCCTTAAATTAATATCTCCACTTCAGCTGAGACTTATTTTACTCATTTAAAAAGGAAGCTTTGTCACACACAGTGATTAATTACCAACGTCTGGGATATCTGAGATGGGATTATTACGCGCTTGCTATGCATCTCAACTTAAAATTTAACCCTCTTTATTACGTGTAAATGTAGTCACTGAAAGGAAAGAGTACTGCAGGCACTATTTTAGTGATTACAGTACTAAAACAAAATTGTAAAATCTAAAGATGTTTAAAAAATAGTGACAGTGTTTCATTGCATTCTTCACTGCAAAAACTCTTCAGATGTTTATTATCTTCTCACAGAAGATTCTTGTCTATATTTTATGGTCAGCAGTTCACAGAAGAGTAAATAGGTTGGGTGTAGAAGAAAATAAAAAAGGTGTTTCTACTTACTGTTAGGTGATACTGCCTCCATATTTCTGGGCAAGCCTGGAAAATAAAAATATTGATCAGCTAGGAGCATGAAACAAGGTGCTTTACAGCCTGTTGGTTTTGGCATAACACAGTATCCACCGGTGTCGGTCACAGGAAAATAAGAAGCTTAACTGAAAGGGTCTGCATTTCAGCTTCAAAAACCTGGCTAGACAGTTTAATTGAATTTTACACTGGTTTAACACACTCCCTGCCATTGTCAGAAAGCCAGTAACAGTTTTCTCTCTCCCCTTCTTCTCTGAAGGTTAGAAGTTTGGGAAAGTAATGTGCTCTTAACTATAACAAGTAGTAATGCTGCAAATCAAACAGAAATGAATTTGAATTCTACATTTTCTGCCATTTTTAATTTAAATAATATTTTGATAATTAAATCACAAGGTACCTTCCCTTCATGTAGGAACATAAATATTTTAGTATTTTTGTACATATCTCTATCCTAATCAAACTGTAATTGTTACATGTAATAATCCTCAGTAGCCTAATGTCAGATGAGTTGTAAACAAGAAGCATAACAGATTGCTTTAATGTTTCTATTTTTACAATGGCTTGCTTGATTTTTTTTAATTTTTTTTTCAAACTTGCCAGACTCTCATACAAACTTGAAATGCAGCCCTTTGTAAAAATTTTTGCAGAGCAGATTTTTGAACCACAGCTATAGCACAATAGACCTGAGGAAAGAGGAAAAACGTGGATCTTTTTTAAACAAAACCAGAATGTGTTAATGATCAATGAGACAGAAGCTACTTTCTCAAGGGTTCTTAGTATTTTTACAAAATTTGCAATGTGTGTATCTTCTACTAGGACCCCCAAGCCACATACAGAGAAATGTTGGTACTTTCTCTGTTAGCTATTTTAGTGTTTCAAAGAGTGTGCACACAGTTACTTCAGTGGAGGTGTTTCACTTTTGTTTAAAACATTTACCCTTTCATTAAAATAGCTCCCTAATAATTTTAACAATTAGCAATTTGGTTTGCCAATCTCAATTTTCAGTATTTTAGGAAGAAATATTAGTTATTCTGTAGCTGCTACATAATACGCTGTAGCTCCAATTTCAAACATTGAGGCCTCATGACTACTTGCAAATGAGTACTATTAACATTTCTTTAGATTTCGAATAAATTTTTCACTCATGCCTTAATTCTTGCTTCTTTTTAAAAATTTTGACAGAGTATATTATTACAAAAAAACCCACCTAACAACCAATATTAGTGACTGAACCTCTCAAAAAATAATCCAAATTTTTGACTATCACTCTATGGCATATATACCATGTTTTTCCCAGATGCGATGGAAATGATATTATTCATTATTCATTCCACCAGTAACACAATTTTCTGGAGAAAAATCTACAATCTGTTCTGTGTAATCAACATTTCTCCTTTTACTCAAATACTGCATGTAAATATTTGAGTTTTGTATTAATATTTTTATAAAGAAAATGTGTGAAGTACATCGCATTTCTAACAGAGGAACAGACTACAGCATTTGACAGTTTGAACACACTTGAGCTGCCTTCGAGTGAAAACAAAAGGATTTTCCTCTTTGGCTAACTTACGCAGAATTTGAGGCGTGATATACAAACACTCTCTAGCGTACAAAAATATTGTATCAAAGTCCTCGCCTTCTCTCTCAAACCTGTAAAGGGCTTCAACTGTACAGGAGGCTTTTGCTGGTTTAGCACAGGGGTAGGAGGCAGTTATTTATACATTAGTTCTGGATAGTTTTCGATTACCACAGTGTCCCCAGACTAATATGGTTGAAAAATCGCAATCAATGAGTTGTCATATACTGGCAAAATGCCACTCTGTGATATGACCTTTACTCACAGAGCAGCTATTTAATAATAATGATAATAAAAAAATTACTTGATGTTTGAATAATAGTTTGGTTGTGGGGTTTTTTCTTTTATTATTTTTTTTCCTTACTCTGAACACAAAGGCATCACAGTGAAAAGCCGTAACTCAGAGTGGGAAACTAAGTTGGCACAGCTCTTACCAAAACACTGGAAGAGGTGCAGCACCAACCCCTCAGCTGTGCTATCGAGAGGTATGTTTCATCCTCACGGTCCTTAAACATGTTTTAAGGCTGCGGGAAAACTTAAGGGATGTAGGAAGAACGTGGTAAGGGAAAATTGGCCGAGCATATTTCTTCATTCAGATGGAGATACGGTGTAACATTTTCATCATCACAATGATCAGTTATGAACTTCTGAAGTTGAACACAAGAGTCGAAAACAGATGCCTGGCTTTTTAGAAGCGATGCTTTTCATAGGAGTCTTACTACCTTGCAGCAGCTCAGAGTTACTGTCTGCATCTTCTATCACGGAATGACAAAAAGTATAATTAACAATTACTACTGAATACTAGCTTCTCAAATGAAGCAAAGAGGTTTGCTATGGAAGAGAGCATAGCCAAATACAACAACCACTGAACCTGTGATTTTCCGTATTTATTTAAAAGTACTTAACCATGAACGGCCCTCATTTATAGAAAAGCCCTTGTGGTATACAAGTACGGTGGCAGTGTGATGAACTACATTAAAATAAAATTGCATTTATTTCCTGCCCCAGTGGTCTGACCTTACCAGCACCTAGATGTACCACACAAAGGTGCCTACCCGTAATGCCGCGCTCCAGCGGCACAGCTGCCGCAGGCGAGGGGCACTTCCGCGCGCCTTTTGCCACCTCCCCCTGCCTTTTGCCACACGAGTGCTGGGCAATTAATTTCCCCAAATTGCAGCTGTTTTTGCTGCGGCCCACGTTCGGTTAATTTGGAGGGGCAACTATTTGTACCCGAGCCTGATCCAGCTCAGGTTGCCACACCAGACGAATCGGGGGTGGATGCTGTGCATTTTGACCCGTGTTGAATTTTATCAGGTGCTAATTATTGTTTTACCAGAACAACGGCTTAATGCATCTGTTGTTTAATTCCCACTTCCCTATTCTCAAACGTGAACATCAAAGAAAATAAAACACTCAATCTCAAACAGCCCCTGACAGCAGACCAGGACTCGAGTGCTCAATAGACAAGGCCCTTGCCACCAGTTCTCATATTTCCACAACAATGAGCAAACACAAAAACAGCACTAAGCGGCCTTTCCTCCTTTCCGCTCCCCTTGGCCGGTCGTCTGCCTTGAGCCGAGAGGGCCCTCGACGTGGCCCTGCTGGGAGCGCGGCGCGGGGGAGAGGATTAGCCTCGCTAACATGCAAGCATTTGCAAAAGGGAAGGAAAAACCCCGCTACTGTATTTGGCGTATGAATAACCAAAATGCACGCGCTGACAGGAGACCGGGACGGGCCCGCGGCTCCCCGGGAGAAAATGTAGCTGTGATGAGTGACAGGGCTTTCAGGAAATATGTTCACAATCACAGACAGTGAAGGCCATGACCTAGATCGTTTAAGAGCTTGTCTTGTCAAATTATCAAAAGCTTCTTCCTCTCTGAATAAAGAGTGACATAAGTGAGTGTCAGAAAGCTGCAGGCTGACAAGCCAAGCATACAATAACAGCATGCACGTCACATACTTGCCGAACACCGCCACGGCTAGCGGCAAATCTTAATGAGAGCGCGGCTGGCCCAGGAGACTTGGGTCCCTGCTGGCACAGCTACTCATCTCGCAAAAATCCTTCAGCTCCAAGTCAGTTATGGTCTGACACGACGACTACAATTACTAAACACAACTTTTTAACAGAATCCTCTGGTGCTTTGTCAAAGCGGCGGCTGCTAGGAGCTGCCCCGCCGCAAGCTACCACAATAAAACAAAAGATTTGCCAAAACACACACTTTTCATCACCTCCGCATGGGAACTGCCACGGAAAACACACAATGCTTCCCTTCAAAAGCACTCCCGCACGAGCAGATGTCGAGACCTCTCCCCGCGCCACCAGGGCAGACGGCTGCCGCGCCGGCACGGAGTGGGCTGAGGTGCTTGACCGCTGGCGTCAGCCAGAGGCTCCTGGCAACGTTCGCTTGCGCGTAACGTCAGGCGGACACTGACTAGTCGCAGCCGTGAAAACAAGGGGACAACACCAGGGACAGGGGAAGAAGCACAAACCCCTCGCTTTCTTCCCAGGGCCCGCGCCACCACTAGTGGCAGGAACAGGCCCCCTCAGCCAACCCCAGCCGCCCCCACGGGCTTGTCCCTGTCCCTCCACCAGCATCCTGGCTTGTGTCATGTCCCGCTGCAAGCGTTGGCGTGGGTTCTGAAAACAACAATGGCAGAAGGAAATCTGGGAGAGAAAAGGCGCGTGGTGGTTTGGATGGCCAGAGAATGTGCCAGGACACAGAGAGGAGATTCTGCTGGTGGCACCCATCTGGTTCCTGGGCAGAAGCGCTGCCAGTAGGTGCTGGGGCGTGCAGATATGCACGTATCTTCACAGGAACGTGGCCAGTGGCACGGTCCGGGAACAACAGGGGCCCCGGCACCACAGGGTGCTGGCTGCCTGAGACCCCTGGGACCTGCTCTTTCTTCCTAATTATACAGAGACTGCCCTGCCTGCCACAACTGCCTCCTCCTGATACATCGCCCTCTTCATGGAGTTCTTTCCCAGCCTTGCAGCTGGTGGGTGAGACTGTACAGCACAAATAAGCCTAAGTATATAGATACATACGCACATATATAGTTACACAATACATATGTGCACACAAAGACTGACGTGCTCTTTCCCCATGGGAGCAGCATACAGTCAAAAAGATGAAGGTGAACTTGGGAACAACTCCACTACCTGTTCCTCTAATCATCTTCCCAAGGCCAGCACACAAGGCTGGGCTGCTTCCATCTAAGGCAACTCCATACATTCCCAGGGCTGTTTCAGGGAAGATAATACATATATTTACCCTGAAAATGTTTTAAGTAACTTTGAACATTTTTCAAATGAAATGAGGCCAAGTACTTTGAGATGTCTCATGTTCACTTCTGGAAAAAAATGTGTGAGCGTGGAGGCGTTCTGAAACACATTCTGCAGAGGAGCTTGACTTGCATCCTTTGTGTCACAGTAAAA